AGAAATGTACTGGAAGCAAAGATCAATATGTAATTGGTTAAATCACGGGGACAAGAACTCTAGATATTTTCATATTGTTGCTTCGAAGAGGAAGAGAAAGAATAGTATCTACTAGATGAAGGACAACAATGGGGATTGGATTTTTGACCCCAAATTAATCAAATATACTATTTGTTGCTATTTTAGATCTTTGTTTACCTCTTCCCATACGAACCTAAATTCAGTGGCTGCAAATTTCTTCAGTAGTTGTCTCAACTGATGATAACCGGTTTCTTTGTGAAACTCCTTCTAGTGATGAAATCAAAACTACTCTCTTTAGTATGGCACCCCTCAAAGCTTCAGGCCTAGACGGACTTCATGCCTTGTTATTTCAAAATGGTTGGAATACAGTTGGTGAATACCTCTATCAGTTTATCCAATCCTGCTTCATTGATCCTACAATTAACGACACAACTATTGTCCTAATCCCAAAAAATGATGATGTTTCTTTGCCTAACGACTTCAGACCAATAGGCCTAGCAAACATTACTTATAAAATTGTTGCTAAAATTTTATCAAAAAGATTGAAACCTCTTATTGGGAAACTGGTATCTCCTTTTCAAAATGCTTTAATGCTAGGTAGACAAATTGTTGATAATATCATTATGGCTAGAGAAATAATGCATTCAATGAACAAAAGATCTTCTACCCCAGGTCATTTTATTCTCAAAATCGATATTTCTAAAGCTTACGACCATGTTGAATGGCATTTTCTTTTTCACTATATGGAGCTCCTGGGTTTCTCTGAGGTTTTCATCAGTCTTGTAAGTAACTGTTTAGCTTCTTCATCTATGCGCATAATTGTTAATGGTACTCCCAGTAAACCTTTCTAGCCAACTAGAGGGCTCAAACAGGGGTGTCCTATCTCCCCGTACTTATTTATTATTTATTTGGAATTGCTATCCATAATGTTTTCTGATGCTCTTAATGCTGGTGAACTCAAAGGTTTTAAATTTAGAAGATCAAATTTAAAGCTAAATCATCTTCTTTTTTATGACAATTTACTGATTTTCGGGGAAGCAACATTCAGAGACTCAAAAGCTGAAACTGTTACTGGATCTGTTCTGTACTTGTTATGGCCAAGCGGTGAACTATGATAAGTCTTCAATCCCCTTTAGTAAATGCACACCTCTTTCATCAAGATATGAAATCATGGATATGTTGGGAATAAAATATATGAAGTTGGAGGATATGTACTTGGGTGGGCCACTTCTCAATACCTCAAAGAAGCACTCAAACTGGAGATTTATTGTAAATAAAGCAAGGTCAAAACTTAAGAAATGGAAATCAGGAATCCTCTCTCATGCAGGTATATCTGCTCTCATTAAATATACTTTAGCTTTCCTCCCCCTTTACCATATGGCAACCTATGCTCTTCTATCCACCATCTACAAGGAGCTAAGATCAATTTGCCACAATTTTTGGTGGGGGGAGGCATCAAAATAAAGACCCATCTACCTAAAAGCATGGAAGTCATTTTTACTCCCTTTTGAGAAAGGGGGTATTGGTTTCAGAGACCCAAGTTTGATGAACATAGCTCTCTTACTTAAGCTGGCTTGGCATTTTCTCACAAAAACCGATTCTTTATGGGTTAAAATACTTAAAGAAAAGTATCTTACCTCAATCAAATTTCTATAAACAAAATCATAAAAGTTCACACTCATTGCTGTGGTCCAGTCTATTAGCTTGCCAGGAAGATCTCATTAAGGGTTGTAGATGGTTAATCTCAAACGGTTGGGATGTAGATATTTTCAAAGATCCGTGGATTCCTAATTGACTAATTGAAAAGTCAAATAACTGGAATCTTGCTTGTAGCAAGGTGGCCATGCTCATGAATCGGAACTCATGGACATGGAACACCCAACTCTTACATATGCTCTTTGATGAGGACATTATTAGCTAGATTACAAAGATTGTTATCCCTTAGGTGAATCCTTTAACTAATGACAAGCTGATTTGGTCATTTACTCCTCATGGAAGGTTCTCTTGCAACTCTGGATATAAATTGTCGTGTCAAGATGTTTTAGAATATTCTCATGCTTCCTGGGTTTGCGAAAATCTTAGTTGGAAAGAATTGTGGAAAATGAAAACTTTAATTCCCCGTGTCAAGATGTTCTTATGGAGATGTTGTAAGGGAGATATTTCAGTTAATGTAGAGCTGGCTAAAAGATCAACTAAGATTGAAGCAACTTGCTACTTGTGTACCTCTTATTTCAAAGTCCAACTGTTCAGCCCATATGGTTTGCCTCCTTGGATATCCGGATTGAGAATACTCAAAACAATAATTTACGTTATTGGTTACAACATTGGAGACATATGGACAAGATAAGGAATCAAAATTCTTGTTTTCCAATGTTTGCTCGAGGGGTCATTGTAATGTGGTTCATTTGGAAGCATAGAAATAAAGTGATATTTGAGCAACACCTTTTTAATCCATTACAGACGCTTGTAGCCATTGAAGCTCATTGTGCCTTACTTTCCAGATCTACTATTTCAAATTCAAACACTAATAGTGTTCACTCTCAAACCAGCACGGGTCCTCAGCTGGTTCAGAGGTGGATCAAGCTTCTTATTGGAGTCATTAAAATTAATACAGATGGGGTGTGGAGTGTTTATCGCTCGGCTTTTGGAATTGTTATCAAAGATCACAATGGCTATTTCATACTGGTAGATGTGCTCCCCTCCATTGTTCTTCCCTAGCAGAAGCTGAAGCCTTAGCAATTTTGGAAGGTATGAGGTGTGCCATTGCAATGGACCTTGTGGCTCTCATCATTGAAAGTGATGCAAAACACATCATCAACATTCTCTCTTCGGGTGCAGACCCTCCCTGGAGATTACAGTCTACTATTATAGAATGTAGGCATCTTGCTTCTGGCTTTATGTCAACCGGTTTTATTCATGCATCTCGATCTTGTAATCGCTTAGCCCACGGGCTAGCAAATCATGTTGTTAGATATAATCATGCTATGACCTAGTTGACTCCTCCAGATTTCATCAGGTCTACATTTTTGGATGAGATGTAACCTGTTGTTTTGAAATAAATTTTTTGCCTCAAAAAAAAAAAAAGAGGACCCTTAAGGTTGAATTCAATATAAGTTATATAATTAGGGATGGTTCGGTTTCTAACCTAAGTTAAATGCATCTAATTTATACCCCTACTTTATTAAGAGAGTTAGAAAGGGTCATTTAAGAAAATAAGGATTTATACCTGTACTGAGGTAAAAAAGTGGCACACATGCCATGATGCCGATAAAAGGGGTTGTGTGGTGTGGTCACAATCTTGCGCCTTAGGATGCATTTGGATATGATGTAAATCAATAATTGATGCAAATTTTACATCGGCTTGGTTTTGTATGCGTTTGGAAAGAGGGTGTAATTATTATTGACGTAAAACTATACTTTGGTTCAGTTTTGCGTGCATTTGGTTAGAGTGTAGTTTTACGTCAATAATCAATGTAAAACCTCATCAGCTCTAAAGGTTTACATCGATAATCGATGTGAAAACTGCATCATTTTTATCGATGTAAAACTTTACACTCTTCCACCCATCACTATATTCAAAAAAGCAATGGCCACTTTCTGATTTAGTGCAAAACGTCATCAGTGTACTTGATGTTTTACACTGATTCCAAACGCAGCCTTATGCTCAGTTTGGAAAGGGTATAAATACAAATATATATAGTGCAAACCTTTGTATATATTATTTCATATTTGTATTTATGATCTTTCTACACTAAGTTCAAATTGGGAATAGTGCAAATACAAATATGTTTGGTGCAAAACCTTGTATATGAAGTTTCTAAATCTTCTATTTGTTTTTGCATCAAAGGAATTCTAAAAGCCTTATGACAAGTTGCAAAGTTATCCACACTCCACAGCAATTAGGGTTATCCCTGGATGATATGTCATATCTTTTTTTTTTTTTTTTTTTCGCTCAATGGGACTACACAATGGAGAGTAGCCCACACTCCATACCCCCAACTTTGAGAAGGCGGGATTCAATTTCCAAATGTCCTTTATAACCAGCCAATTACCTTACTAGCTAGTTGGCACCTTGCATTTGACATGACATTTTTCAACAACATTAGTATTTCTTTAAAAAAAAAATAGTTCATATGGGCTTATGTGTAAGGGTGATCATGGCTCCGGCTAAGTGGCTAGGAGGGGCCATGCCTGATTTTGGACCTTTATCGTTTATGTGTAAAATATTATATATATGTCATATATTATATATGCAAAATTTATTTTATACATTGTATAATATAAAATATTATATATAATATGAATTGTGTGTGCCACCTAAAGTATTAGGCTTATACCTCAGTCAGAAAACGTGGGCCAGGTCTAAACTGGGCTGAAAATGATCACTCCTACTTATTTGTCATATAGGAAGTCTTGTGGACAACGAAGGTTGTGGAATGTGAGCAACCAAAGTTTATTAAAAAAAAAAACCATCTTAGCCGAAAATATGTTTAGGGTAAAAGACTTAAACATACCCTAAATAATTAAAAATCGACTTAAATGCACATTAAGGCTCAGTTTGAAAGGAGTATAAATGCAAATATGTACAAAATAGTATAAATATGAAGTTTTGCACTTTACATATTTGCATTTGTACTCCTTTCAAACCGAGCCTAAGCAAATGCTTTTTACATAGACTTAAAGACACATCATGAATCTTTTACCCTTCATTTTCTTTCAAACTTTCAAAATATACCTTGTGTTTTTCGAAGTCATACAGGTAATGGTATATTGGGCTACCCCTCTCTCAAAATTCAAAATCTGAAATAAAATGAAGGATAAAAGAGTCACGAGATAAAACTGGATTGTGATACTTATAAATACTTATAAATCCATTGTTTTTTATGAGAAAATTACCAATAAATCCATTGCCAATATAAGTGGGTTGTAATAGTACGTAGTGGAATTATAATAGATATGCTCGTTAGTAGCAATGGAGTTGGCCGGGCTAACATTAACAAACAGGCGGATGTTAATTGGAGTGTGCAGTTGAATCGGGCACAAAATGACAAAAACTAAATTGAAACCCCTATCAGTTTAAACCATTCCTCTCATTTTCTCTTTTCTCCTCTACCAAATCCTCTTACCCCACACATCGGCGAACACACCACGCCGGCCATCGTCCATTGTCGGCGAAACTCCGATGCTAGTACGTTGTTTGGCATCCTCCTCCTCCTTTTCTGCTTCTTCTTACAATGATGTTCCTTGTTTTCTGTTTTGAACAAATTGGTGGCGATACCGGCGGGATTCTTCAGGTGAACGAATGTGGGCCAATACCAACGGGCTTTGATCTGTTGAAAAGAGAAAACAAAAACCCTTTGTAAGAAGAAGAAGAAGAAGAAGGCCGGCGATGCCCGCTAGTTCGGGTCACCGTCCGCTGTGGTATGGGAGGGAGAATAAGGGAGGAACGTGAACCGAGTGTTTTTCATTTGTTTTTTGTCTTTTTGTGACCGGCTATCCCATGTTAACGGTTGTAATCTTGGCCCTGGTCGATTGTGATTGATGGGTTCAAGCGTCAAGTGAACCCACCGGTGCATAGAACGCGCCGACTAGTTCTATCTCCCAGGTAAATGGACCCATCTATTGAAGGTGGTTGGCCCGAGGGGTAAACTTTCAAATTAGTGGACCCGAACCGCCGAACGTGCATACTGTATCTGAACTCTGAAGCCAAAGAGCGTGGATAGAACAGAGTGGCAACACCGTTACACAACCTTCGCCTATGAAAAATCAAAATCCAAATGCAGCGGAAACGAAAAAACGCGGCAGCAGCTTCCGAAAGTGCGCGGCAACTGGAAAGGCTTTTACTTTACCCAAGGAGCAGATCCCGTACCGCCTTAGAGGCCATACCAACTCAACACTCATGCTAGTGGCGGGTCAATATTGGGTTGAATGACCTAAATAGGCTTTAGCGTCAGCGGAAAAGAGCGGTTGGGTCGAGGGTAACCATGTCAGGGTGGGTTGGGTTGAGGTTGCATCAACTGAGCTGAGCTATTGGAGTCATTGAGGGTCAGTTTTAGGATTCGAAAGTAACCAATAAGGCAATGTTACTTCTCACACTCTCTGACGTCCGAACACTCATCCTCACTCTCCCAAGGTTCATTCGCTGCAATATCGCCGGCGACCAGCTTCAACGTCGCCAAAACAAGCTTGTCACCTGCACCAGTGTGAACGTCGCCGGTGTCTGTTCAAATATCTCTTCTTCTCCTCTCTGTTTAGGGTTTGTTCAAATCGCCAAAACAAGCTTCAACGTTTGTGGTTTCTCCAACGTCGCCGGTGTTTCTTCCCCTTCCACTTGTCAAGGCTGAATATTATTTCCTGTCCATCTGCATCCATTCTGCAACGTCACAGGAATAAAGGTTAGGAACAAATTTTCTTTCTTCTTCTTCCCGTGTTTCTTCGATGTATCCTTGTTGATGCCATCGTATGGCTTGCTGATACTTAAATGCTCTTTCTTAGTTAAACTTATTTTGAAATTTGCAGATTCTAAATCACTCCTCTATGACCTCTGGCTTTTCTTTTTCAACCTCAGTAGTTTATTAAAACGTTATCATTTGCAAGCAACAAGCATTTAATGGTTAATTTGTACGAGCTTATGTAGATTGACAATGTTTAAAACATTGTCATTTTGAACTTCAGTAGTTTATTGAAACAGAGTTTGCATTCATATGCCTACTCGTTAAGGAAGCAAGAGGACAATGTTTAAAACATTGCCATTTTAAACCTCTGTAGTTTATTAAAACAAAGTTTGCTTTCATATGCTTACTCTCTAAGGATGCAAGAGAAAAAGCTTTGCTAAGAATGCAACTATGGCTCTTGATGTTCACAGTATACCTGGATTGACGTCTGCATCCTAGAGAACTACCTTAATAATTAAATGAGGAAGCACTTGTTTTTGGTAATAAGATGAACCCAAAGTGCCCGTGTAGACAAATACAGACACACAAAAAAAGAAAGATGATTTTTCAGCTTCTGAATTTGCTCTCCCTGCAAAGTTGACCTTCACTTGAGGAAATGAGGAATAATCATCCCTGAGATCTCAAGAAGCCCCACACGCTCTCTCCCTCCAAATAAGGTCTTCAGCTTCTCATTACACACTATAATCTTTTTGTTTTTAGGATCCTGGAGTAAGAGTACATATAAGATAAGGAAAACAAATCAGTATGTAAGTTCATCAAGGCAATTCATAGTGTACATGTTAAGTGCATGCAGGGAAGAAAAACAAATGCTGTTAGGAAATCACCCAAAAAGCTAGTTCTGTGGCAATCTATGCCAGGAATTGTGAAAAAGGATAATGCAGTGTTGCAGGTTTGGTGGCCTAATACATGTTCTGCTGAACAGAGGGGTTAAGCAACCATGTCAGCAGGTGATGATGTTGGAATGAATTTGCTTGCCAGTTTGACATCTGGAGAAATGCCAAAATCTGATCTGGGTTCTCCAATTGGTTCTCCTGGGAGTAGTTCACCTGTGGCAGATGACTATGTGGGTAACAGTGGGAGTAGTTTATTAGTTTGTTAAGAGGGAGGGAGGGGGACTTCAGAAACCAGTGACAATGCTCTCCTTTGTATTCGAATCTAATATGTTATAGAAACATGGTTTATGCTGTATATACTAGCTTGTTCATGGTTTGAAGTTGATGGGCGCTTTGGGTTACCATCATGTTAAGATTATTCCTAGACCATCATTGGCTGGATGCTTGACTCTTTGCCATTCATAGAAAATCCAGATCTTTTGGTTCTAGAGTGAACATAATTTTCAGGTGGTACCCTAGATTGGCTAACACTCTAGCAGGTCCTTCAGCTAATACAAAGAACTGAGAGGGCTCCTCTTGAATTTAAGGTAGGTTGAACATATTGTTTCTGTCTTACTTTAGTATTGTACTTTGATTCTCTTGTAGTTGTTTAATCTTAGATGTGTCTATATTATTCATAGTCTTGTTCTTTAATGAATAATTTCCATTATTATTCCAAAAAAAGAAAAAGAAAAAGAAAAAGAAAAAGGTTCATAAAAGAAAAAGAAAAGCATACCCTGACAATATCCCCAACTTGACGCTTCTTTCAAGGAATAGTTTCCCACCTCTGGTCTTGCATAGGTGAATGATTTATCACCCTATCATTAAGCAAGCGTTTCTGTTTATAGAATTAGACAAAGAAAAGCAACAATTGTAGTCAAATGATTATTTATCAAAAAAATGTAGTCAAATGACTATTCAACATTGTAAATTTGTAATGCACAAAAGCGTCTGATGGATGTGAGTTTAGCAAGAATGAAACCCTAGATCTTCTCCTCTACCAGCATAAAAAGGTCAATTAGAAATTTAGAAGGCATCCGTATAAAAACAAATTCAAAAAGAAGATCGAATGTAGGATAATAAAGTTTGTAAAGCTAGTAATGTGTCTTCTACAGGTAGAAATAACAGTATAGGATTCCTTTTTTGCATTTTCTGCAGACTTTATGGATTTTATCTCCATTGTTTTGCAAATTTCTGGATTTTTTCTGCATTTTCTACATTTTTCTGTAACTTTCTGCAAAATTTTGCATTTCTGCAAAATTTCTGTTTTTTTTTTTGTAATTTGCTGCTGCATTTCTGTAATTTTGCTCCAATTTTTCTTTATTTTTTCTGCATTCTCTGCATTTTCTGATTTTTTTTTGCAAAATCTCTGCGGTTTTTTGCAATTTTTCTGCATTTGTGCAAAATTATTGTTTTTTTTTTCTTTGTAATTTTCTGCAATTTTCTACAATTTTTGGGCATATGGGTTGACCCAACCTGTATCTTCCACGTCATAGTTATGAGAACAAAGCATTTCTCTTGATCTTAAAATTGATTTTTTGGGTATATGGGTTGACCCGACCCATACATGTCATGTGGTAGTCATGAGAACAACACATTTCCCTTAAATTTGTTTTTCAGGTATGCAGGTTGACCTAATCTGTATCTGCCACGTGGCAGTTATGAGAACAATGCATTTATCTTAAAATTGATATTCGGGTATACAGGTTGACCCTACCCGTATATGATATGTGGCAACTATTAGAACAATGCATTTCTCTTATTTGTTTAAATGTTTATTAAATTATTATGTATACCTTTCTTTCTAAAAAATGTGTTGCTACATGAATTTATTTTGCTTCTATGATTAACATGTACCACATTTTCGCATGGTGCCAATCAGCGGGTTGGTAAGGTCTCCTGCTGGTCGTAGCAGAGACTTGGGATTGAATCTCTCCTGCACCTGGTTGGGGATGGGCTACCCCCGTTGTGTAGCCCTTCAAAGATATCAAAAAAATGAAAAAATAAAAGAAAAACATGTACCACATTTTCATGACCAGTATGTAATATGCCTTTATTTCTTTAAGGGCTTGTAATGCTTTATAATTATGGGTACTGACTATTTATATGTGTAAATTGGATCTTATTACAACCAAGCATGCATAGCAGCATATATTATTGATTATATTTTTATTTTAAATAATTATTTTGGTTACATTAAGAGTTGTATGTGTATGCTTATGCTATAATTTTGTAAAGTTTCATTCTCAATTTCAAATGTTTCCCTTCTGTAATTTTACAACATTTCAAGGAACTCCCTTGAAACTTTCTACAATTTAATTTTACTTCCATAGGGACCAATTCATGTTGAAATTAAAGTTTAATGGCTTGGTTTTTTCAACAAGATGGGCTTGAGATGTGGAAAAGACTTTTTGTATCCAAAGTCCTGTCCACAATAGGTTGCACTCACCTTCTACTTGTCTCTGTATCAATTTTCAAAGTTTACCATTATGCGCAGAGCATTACCAAGTCATCATCAAGTATAGAATCTTAAGAACTTGTATATGTGAATAATCATCCATGTGAACAATATCATAAGAAAATTTTGTGTTCAGGATTCATCTTTAACCTTAGAGGTTGTTTGATAACAGCTGATATGGCTGAACTGAAAAGATTATTGCTTTGACTTTTGGTGAATAAGTTTTTATGGAGGTTGTGGGCTCCTTAATGGCTTAAGCTGAAGTTGGGTATATTACTATGCCCTTGAATATTTTATTAATTAATTTTTTTTATTTACTGAAGGCCAAATCAATATTCAGCCATTATTAAGCAGCCCCTTAGTCTGATCTTTCTGCAAGTATTAGGAGATAAATAGTTAGAATTTGTTACTTGTAGGAATGAACTGTTGAGTTTATCTGGATAGTAGCTTTTACATAATGCCATTAATATCTTAGATTTATAGTTTTTGGTAACATTAATCCACTTTTGTTTTTGTTTTGTTGTAGTCAGAAGTTGGAGCTAGAGAACTCTTAAAGACATCACAAGGTTTTGTGGAGTACATCATGCCACTTGTAAATTTGGTGACGACTCAGGAAAGATGAGGGAAGCTGCAAAAACATCTGCTTAAAAACTTATCCGTGGCAGTAGCAAATATCTTTTGCTCCATTTTTGTGCAACAATTGAATTGATTTTGGAGGTTTGTTTGATTGGGAGTTGGTTTCTCAATGTCGTTGCTTGAGGTCATCAAGAAAGCTATAGTTGATTCTGGGACTTTTATGACTCAGTTCAAGTATCCGATTATTCTGAATGCTGATGTGATTTTACCTAATTTGAAGCCTGAAAGTGGGGGTTCCAACGAGATTTATCCAATCAAACACATGGGAGGATGGAGGATATCTGATACGGATTCCGATATCATTGAACTAGGGAATCATTTCGTCAATAAATTGAAACGGAAGCTCAAGAACCCTAAATCTTTGAACCAGGGTGAATTTCTAGAGATTCTAAATTTGTTTCTTGAGAAAAATGGGGAAAAGGTTAGTTTAGCATGTCATGTTGATTCGTCTGACTCCAGTTACACCTGCCTAATGATTGAAAAGTTGGGATTTTTGATCAGTCGGGATGCTATTGTTTTAATTTTGGAGGCTTCTTTAGTTCTGGAGCTTTGGGAACTGTTGGAGACAATAATTGTTCAAGGGCTTGTTATTCATTCTTCTTCTAGTAATTTGGTGCAGTCTCTGATTGAGAAGAACCGGTCAGACTTGCTTTGTCTATGTATCATGCATATATCGGATCTTCAGTTACCAGATCTTCTTAGCATATTGAAATACTTCTTGTCTCTTCCCAAACATGCTTACAATAGTGTGATCAGTGTGAGAAAAGAATGGGAGAGCCAAGCTCTTTTAGCTATTGAGAAGGCAACCGGCCAAAACCTTTCTAAAAAGAGATCTGACTTGGCAAAGCAAGCTTCAGTCTTGCTCATGAAAGCCTATGATGGCTTTTCTACCTTTGAACTCTGTTTGCATTATGTGTTTGCATCCCCAAACCTTGATGAGCTGACATTGTCATCTTCTGTTAGGAGGCTCAATGGTTCTGAAATGTTGAGCTTAATTAGGTATTTAGGGAAATGGTTGAGGAAGTATGAGAAGTTTCCACAATCTGGTCCATGTCCAAAAGCAGCATCCAAGCTGGGACTGAAAGCCTGTCAATGGGTACCTTCCCTTGAAACAGTTGTGAAGAGTCTTGGATTGGTGCTGGATGATTATTTCTCTTCCTTGGTGCTGTACTCTGAGTTTCATGAAGAGCTGAAGTTGATAGAAGATGTTGTAAAGTCTTTAGCCTCTGAAGCTAGGTTATGTTGCTCAATAGAAAATGTACTTCAGAATTTGATAAAAGATGTTGGGCTTTGTGAAGGTGAAAAGTCTGAACTGGTTTAATGTTGCTTTGATACTTGTATCATTCTCTTTATGGTTTTTGTAACATTGACGCCAACCTTTTAGTTTTAGTGTAATCTGAATACAATATTACAATTTTGGATGAATGGAAGTGATATACATTATTTCAATTTTGAATCTTATAATCTTGTTTCTTCTATCTTGATGTTGTTCTCCATGAATTTATCTGATGGCATAATGATTCATGACTAACTGGATAGGGATCAAATCCCTTTCTAGGTTCAAATTTGAACTATGACATCTCGACTTTTAGTTCAGCTTTCTTTACAAACATTACTCCTGTGAAAATTAATTTGCTAATTCTCACCCATCATTAGAACACTTGCAAATTCTGAAACCTGCTTACCCTACTCTGGACTACTAGACCTCATGTTTTGGACCAAGCCATATCTTCTTTTTAGACCATTATGACACATGGGGGATCTTGGCAATGAGGCAGTGCTATAGATAGATTCTTTTTCAGGTGGATCAATGGCAGGACAAAGGGGGTCTAGAGGAGGGGTTCTGTTTTGATATTTGATGGAAAACCTTGGTTCTCAAACTTGCCAAATAGAGAAACCCTGGAAGGAACTACATTAGAACTTGTCTTTCCCCTGATCCAGCCAGCCAGGATCTTGCATTTTGGGCTTTCTACACATTGACAACTTACCTAGTCTAATTGAATTTAGGAAGCGAGGCTTAACTAATAGACTCAATATTGATACGCTTATAAGTTATATCAATTGTTGAACCTTGTCCTTGATAGATTCTTTAAAATGCTGAACACTTGAAACAAAAACTATTATTTTCTTGGAGGCTAGAAGTACAACCACACTAATAAACTTAACATTGGTGAACCTATCTATTATCCATCTATTTTCATAATTCCCATTCTTGTTGCAAAAAGGTTGGAGTAGATCATGGGAGAACTATATTACCCAGATACTGCAAGGACAAGTTAGAACCTAATTTTGATCTCCTTCACAGAAGGTGCTCTCTGAAGGGCTTCTACTCACCACACCAGCTTTCTCCTGTTGCTACCAATGGAAGGTAATGACGAGAATCAACCAAATAGATCAAGGATGAATGAAAGATGTTGCAGGAGTCTGTATGGGCGATTTGTCGCGGACATGCTACTGAATGCTCAAGGTGTCTTGGAATTGGTTCGGAATATGTGGGGTAGGAATATCGGGTATGATGTGGAATGGCTACATGGGGAAGTTCTGTGCATTGTTTTCCGCAGAGAAGTGGATTTGGAGTGGGTGCTAGAGTGTGGACCTTGGATTGTGAGATTCCCTCTACTTTGATGGAACCCAACATCATCCCCAGAAACCTGGCCTTCCACTTTCTGAACATCTGGGTCCTCATTCTTGACGTTCCAGTGGAGATGGTGACAAAAAGATTGGCAAGAAGGTTACTGAAGTGTTGATAGAAATTGAAGCAGACCTTGATGACGATGAAGATAGTCCCTGTTGGGGAAGATTTCTGAGAGTCCGAGTTGATGTGTCCAGACCACTGGCACTTGGGACTCGAGAAGACAGCAACGATGAGAAATGAGATTAAGCAGTGTCTCCCTTATCAATATGAAAAGTTTCCACTGTTTTGTTAGTGTGACCTTCTATGGCATGATGAAAGGTTTTGTAACAGAGTCTTGGAGGAAACAAATATGGACTATCTAACAGAATGGTTAGCAATCCAAATGGTTCAAAATCCAATGCAGAACCAACCTATGGGCAGTGGCTGAGAGCTTTTGGGGATACTAAAGAATTTAAATTTGTTAATAGTGCTGGTAATAGGAGAGGTATGGAGGATTCAAGTCCAAGCTTTGAAAGAAATCACAGGATTCAAGTCCAACCTATTAATTTCTTCTTTTTTATTTCCAATCTCAATATTCATATTTTCACAACATGTTTTAAGTAAAATATCTAAACCATCTTTCCTAATCCTAGGATCTAATATTGTAGCTAAGCAATAAATAGGAAAATGTTCTCTCAATATTTTTTAAATTTATTTTCCATTATCTCAACAATACTTTTAAATTGTGGATTGTTTCTATATTTTGCAAAACAATAACTAATCACCATTAATTGATATAAATTACAACTAGTTGGATAATACCTAGTAGTTCATTAGTTGCATCATAAAAATGTTTTAAAAAATCTCTTATACAAATTGCCATTTCCCAGTCTTCCTCAAATATAATATCATTAGTCATTTTTGCATTATAAAAATCACTAAGAATTTATTTGTGAGAAATACAACTTTCTAACATAGAATAGGTAGAATTTCATCTATGTTAAACATCTAATATAAAATGTTTATATTTTAAACCATAATTTTGACATAAATATTTAAGTTATTGTTTTCTTGCTCCAAAACTTTTAATATATATAATACAATTTCTAATTTTAGAAATACGAGTACAAATAATATTTAAAGCATCCTGAATACATAAATTTAAGATGTGACATGCACATCTGATATGAAATAACTTACCATTTAAACATGGTTTTAATTGAGATTTTAAAATATCTATTGCTGAAGCATTATTACTAGCATTATCAAAACTAATAGAAAATAATTTATTCTCAATTCCATAAGCATGTAAAGTATTTAAAATGCTTGCAGCCATAGCTGGGCCAGTATGTGGCCATTCAAACCTAGTAAAACTTAAAATTCTTTTATTTAAAAGCCATTTTTCATCAATAAAATGACCGGTAACACAAATATAACTAATGTTAAATTTAGAAGTCGAAACATCAAAAGTAATTGCAACTTTAGAATTAAGATTTGATAACATATAAATTAAATTTTGTTTATATAAATAAAAATTTTTTAAAGCATTTATTCGAATAGTATTCCTAGAAACTTTTTTTATATTGTGGATTTACAGAATTACGTAACCATTTTTCAAGTTTAGTATCTTTAGCTAACGAAAATGGTTGTTCAGCATGTACAATGTATTTTGCTAATTCTTGCCTCATTTTTTCAGCATGTACAATTTTTCTTCTTCTTCTTCTTCTTCTTCTTCTTCTTCTTCTTCTTCTTTTTTCTCATGAGTGAGCAAATGCCTTCTCAAATGGCCAGTACCACCCTTGCTAGTTGCCACAATAGCTAAAGTCTTTCTTACATTTTTTGGCAAACAACTCTTTTTCCCTTCCCCTCAACATCCTCTACTTTAAATATTTTTCAAACCGGGCTAATCAACTTAGAGGCTCTCTTTTTCTTTCCCCTAGTATTAGTACTAGGGGTGGAAGTTCCATCAATATCTATAGCATCCATATCGGTGCTAACACTATCATGATGCGACTGAATATCGTCGACATTGAACATGTTGGGGAATTGGTTTCAGGAGGAGATGATCATTTTTTAAATTCTAAAAAAATATAAATTAATTTAATTGGACTTACCCGGATTGCCGGTTCAGAATCCCAATTTGATTTCAATGGTTGGAGCCTTTCAACTCCAAGAGTCCAAGCTTCCTAAATTGCTAACTTAAGATACTTGAGCTGGTTGAGCAAACCTTCTTGTTGAAACTTCAATAAAGTTGAGAATTGGAGAATCAATCAATCAGAGTTCAGAGAATGTATGAGAGATTGGGAGATTGAAACTTGAGAGGGTATGAGAACTAGATAAGAGATTAAGAGAATTATTGAATTGGTGTAATGAGAATGGTGGAGGATAGGGCTATTTATAGGAATTGAAAAAATTCAATTTCCTAAAATACCTTAAAAGCTAATCGTTTTATAGTTGTTGGGAGGGGTATTTTGGTCATTGTAAAGTTATTTATCACTTTACCCAAAATGCCCCATAAACTAGTTGTTATATAGCTGTTGGGGGGGCATTTGTGTCATTTTTCTCCCTCAACCAAAATACATAAATACCCCCCTATATAGTTGTTGGGGGCGGTTATTTCTATAAAAACCCCCCAAAAAGTTGAAACTAGCCATTGGGGGGGGGTGGTTCCCCAACGGCTAGTTCTTGGGCGGGCTGAGCGCAGCCCGCTACATTCCCGTGGGCCAAGTGCAGCCCGCAGGCCATGCCGACCTGTGGACTTTGAACCCAGGCCCAGCACGGCACGGACCATCGTGCTGGGCCTGACACGACCCGCATGCCATCGTGCCGTGTCGGGCTGGTCCAAAGTCGGGCCGGGCCGCGGGCGACATGGCCTGATTTACACCTCTATGTACTCTGAGCTGCCAGGTCAACTTCATCTTCAACCTCTAGCCCTTCTCTCCAAAGTGACACTTAGGTTTCATCACTGGCTAGCTTTGTTCCTGCGATTTTAATCTTTGCTGTCTGAAGATTAGCTACATCGAACTCTAGGAGAATACCCCAAAAGCTTTAACAGTTCTGTAAATGGAGGTTTTTGTTCCACAGGATGAATGGTAAACCGATAAGTTTCATCTCAAAAGCTTCAACATCTACCTCCTTTCTGTTGCAGGAAAAGGACCAATTTTCTATTAAAACCACCCCAATTCAGTCTCCACTCTTCTAAAATTTACTGTCTTCTCCTCTCTGTCCAGAATAGCTCTTCCGTCATCAAAAGTAAACACAGACTCCAGAATTTACACGGGGTTTCCCCATGATAGCTTCCACAATTACATTCCAGTCAGATACCTTCTTCCCAGCCTTTAAAATCAGTCTTTGTTCCCAATCTCCTTTATCATTTTCCAAGACCAGTCTTTGTACCTTAGGCTAGCAGCTGAAAAATGCTGCTGGACTTCCTCTCGCACACTGTCCTCAGACACTTGAGGACTATTGCAACCGGGTGATTTCTCTGAGAGTTCTCCTTGTTTGGCCTCAGGGTACAGTCAGAAAGTTAACCTTTAATCAACAGAAAATCTTGGAGCTTCTGTGCAATTAGCTTCCATCCCCAACCTTTCTTTCCTTCTGGAAGACAGATAAGTTGCTTTTGGTTATCGCCAAAAAATTATGAAACTGCCACAAACCATCCTTTCTGATTGTATTTCAGAACCACCTGATACCTTCTTGGATGTTCCAATGAATCCTTTCAGTCACTGTACTGCTTCTCTTATTAAGAAAATGGATGTTCTTCCTTATCTGAACTTCAATACCAGTTGGCTTCGACCTTTTCCTTCTAAGACAAATTTCTTCGCGTCAAGCACCATTTTTTTTTGATAAATGAGTAAGATTTTATTAAACCAGCAAATTAGAGTTACATGCAACCCATTGAAAGGCACGAGGTGCAACCTTTCCTTTAAGACTAGTTACAGAATTATAAGTACAAAAGAAATTACACAGAAGCCCAAAATAAAGTAGCCCGAAGAACCCCCTGTTTTGCAAGTGAATCAGCCATTGAGTTTGCTGATCTGCTTACCCACTGAACTCTGATTGTTATATTCCTTGTTAGCCATTTAACCTTTTTGAGAAGATCTCTAAAACCCCAGATCACAGAGTCCGGATCCTTCAACCAACCCACTATCACCTGGAAGTCCCCTTCAATAATCAGATGCTCTATACCTCAAGCACCATCTCGCTTCTCCATTTTCTCGCCAGAAACTCCCCTCTCGCTTCTCCTTCAGCAGGTCTTTTCTGTGAAACCTGTCCTTGTAATGTAAATTCTTGCTCCACTAAGTCATTTTTTTGGATTATAATCAGCTCGTGAAGGGTGGATGATGAAGTTGGCAAGGTGTTCCATCGATTAAGATAAGGCTATTTGCAGTTCAGAACCTCAGATAGACGAGTTCTCTTATTCTTTTAAGAAATCATCGTCCATCAAGGGGTTTGATTTTTTTCCCTTTATCTTTCTTTTGGTATGGTTTCTTATTATTATTTATTAATTGAAAAAGCAAACATGGTTGGCCAAACTATAAACAAGATATTCATAAAATGAGAGAAGCAGGCACACAGGAGTTGAGGTTTGCGTGCTTTATGACTAAAAGGGATAAAATATGAAGGGAACTGTAGCACTAATTGGTGATAAGGGAAAGTTGACTCACATGGTTTCACCAGAAGGAAAAAGGTGTGAACAAAAAGAATCTCGTTTCAATATTGAAAAAGACTTAATAGCTCAACCTTGAGCAGATGATTGCTGTGGTGGTGATGATACATATTATGCATCGACTTAGGAGGGATAAGGTATAGTAATGATAATGGTGCCATGCTACAAGACCCCTTGGTTAGGGTAGGGCAAATGATAGTGATGATGATGAAGATATGGCTCAAGTTATATTTATTTTATACTGCACACTTTCATCAACTTTTTTTAAACATAAAGTAAACTCCATCACTCAGTGCTGGTCTTGGCCATCAAGGGTCATGGGGTGTGTGTTTTATATGGACCTAACCTCCAGCATTTCATGGGGTGTGTGTTTTATATGGACCTAACCTCCAGCATTTTAGCACAAGTGGCCTCTGTCAAACTTAAACCCACGTTCTCCAGCTTGTTAGCCCAAGAATGATTTTACCAAGCAATGGACCCTTTTTAAATATAACCTCATGAATACTTTTTTTTTATCAATATAACCTCATGAATACATTATAAATTGTTCAGATGTGTGCTTTTTATAGTTTCCTGAAGTCATCATGTCAACATTTACATCAATGTCAATCTTGTCATATAGGCCTACATCACAACACCAGAAAAGATATATCGTGGTAAATATATTGATCAAGAATAAAGATAAATTCTAGATTTCTTTTTTTGTGCTTGTTTTGCTAGAGGCTTTCATTTTCCTTATTATTAATTAGAACCGTAAAACAATAAGAAAATTATAACTGACTGTTAGTGATATTTTTGTATGGATTAGATAGTGTAATTGTAGTGGAAACCAAGTGGGTATTTCCAAGGTCCATTAGCAGGAGTAAGGCTTCCTGTGGAAACCAGAAGATATACTAGTGACATTGCCCTTCTCTTCTTTACTGTAATGTCCATAAATGACACAATTAGAGCAATATTCTCTCTTCTTTTCTGAATAGAAGTTTATGAAGGATAGGAAGATGATAAATAGAAACCTTAACACTTAGGATAAGGGAGGTTTAGAAGATAAATGGTTTGGCAACCAACTAGGTGGATATTCAAAATGAATGTTCCCTTTGCCATTCAAGCAAGGAATTGCTATGCCATCTACTGCTCCATTGTCCATTCTCCATTAAGACATACCCATTTTGTCTAACTACTTGGAAAGGAATGGGTTCTTTTGGCTAACTTGAGTAAATTGTTCAGCTTGGCTGGTAAAGGCATTCTTTAAGAGAGGGAAAATCCTATGAATTTTGTCTTCTTTTGCCATTTTCTGGAGCATATATAAGGAGCACCGCTCAATAACTTTTTGAAGACAAGTTGGAACTGAAGGACAGAGTCATTCAGAAGATCGAGAAATTCCTTGTTTGTTGTGATCTATTCCGAAGGACTTTGGTGATCAATTTTTCACAAACTTTTGTAATAATTGGCTAAGCATGAAAGGAACACAGAGAAATTTACTTCTGAAAGGAATTCTGCAAGTTTTCAAGCTGTTAGGAACTTGCCTTTTTTTCATATTACAAACTTTTGTGCTATGATTGTTTCTTTGAGATAGATGTTACTTCTCAAGCATTTATGAGGTTGCATGGTATGCAATAACTGCTATCCCAGTTGCATCCTGGGAGTAGTTAATAGAGCTGTGTTGTTCTTTCAGACTTGAAAAAACTTTAGCTGTGTTTGGTTTGATTTCCTTAAGAACTTACCCTCAGCTTTCTGTTTCTCTCTTATTTTCTATCCAATCAAACACAACCTTGATTATTCAGGAGCTATCTTTACCAAAAGCAGCCCCTTGAAATTGACAGGACTTGAGTAGGGTAAACATCTATTGCTTATGTCATAGCAGTGTTTGGAGTTGGGCATATGAGCTATTTAATATTGCATCTTAAGAGGCTCTCAAAGCAAGCATCTTATAAGGTTTGTTAAATATCAGTTGAGTACTAAATTAGGTTCAATTTGCTGCTTGATGGATTCCTTCCTTAAATAATTTATAGCTATTGGGTATTTATTTAGTTGATGATGCCTTTAACCATCGCATATCGTTAAAGATTCCACTGACAGACGAATTACCACATCACTAGTTAGCAACTGTGTTTATACATATTCCTGTATTGACAATAGATGAATTTCACATGTGGCGCTCCATATATGAAATTGCTTAGGCTTGGTGATATTTTATTACCACATCACTAGTTAGCAACTGTGTTTATCTGCATTATCTTTAATTGACGACTAATTTCAAATGCTAATTTAGATGAAAAATACACTGCCACTTGGTGATATTTTATTATGAAAGTTCTTACAAGCAACATCATTATCATAATGCTTTCTTCAATTATATATTATTTGTTATCCAAATTGCTTAGGCTTGTAAAAGTTATCAAAATGGATGACAGGTGGCCCTTTTTATATTGATGTTCCACTTCCATCTTCAACAGGATTATTTCCCAGGGATGACGCACGTGTGTGTGTGTGAAAAGCTACAAATATTCTTAGAGCCTCCCCCAACACAAGTTAATCCTTGGATTCTTTAATTGACCATGCAACACTCAGATACAGGTCTTTCGGATATCAAAGGCTATGGGTGCTGATAGGGAAAAAACTATGACTCCATATTAACAAACAGATCCCAACCCAAGAGAATGACCTTTCTTGTCAAGCACAAGAAGATGTACAAAGAAGGGGGTTTTCCAGCAAGGAGTTGCCTCCTCTGACCAATCCTGCTCTCTTACCCCTCTATCAAATTACTGTTGCACCACTGATTTGAAATAAAATAAACAATTTATTAAGTTGGGAGAGGGGAGGTTTCTTACTCCCAATCTCGTGGCATCTTTAAGTCAATTTTGGCTTCCTTTCTATTTGTTTAATTTGATTTTTGAGTTCTCCAGAAGGAAAAGAAAAGGACTGGATTAGAATAAAAAAATTGGGGTGGCTAATGTGTAGGGACCACAATCTGGTCCTTCCTTCCAAGGATAAATGAAATGGATTGAGATGAAACCAACCAACCTACCCACCAACCACAATTCCAGTATTCCCTCCCCTAGACGGCCTCATTTGATTCCACATGTAGAGACAGAAGACAATGAATGCTTGATGACTTAGCATGCCTACTTGGACTTCTTCCGCAAAAGCAAGAACGAATTGAATATATTAGAAGGAAAAGAACAATTGGAAAGAGAAAGAGAGAGCGCCATTGGTGGAAGTCAGTCTCCCATTAAAGGATCTAGTACGAGACATTGGAATAACAACATAATCCAATAGTTTCTAACATGTCCCCAAAGTTGTAATAAGTGGGTCCATCTGGTACAACTGTCCAACACAAATGCTGTGGGTTATTTATTCAATAATAGAAGCTGACGACTTAATTCCGCTGTAAACCTATGCTTTGGGGTGTAAAGTATAGGGTTTGTCTGCTCTAAGAAGATATGCCCAGATCTCATTGAAGACCCCATTAGTATATATGCTTACATCATTACCCACTTCTAATATTCCTTTGTTTAGCCATATCCTCATTTCAAGAGCATCCCAAAATCATAGTCAAAATTGACAGTTTTAAGAGTTTGTTTGGATGCATGTAGGTGGGGAGGTATATAGTTATAAAGAAGCTTCATTAAGTGCCAGATAACAACCAAGCTACAGAACTCGACCATATTCAAATAATATGTTGTAACCCTATTGAGCACTGTGTGTGGATGGAACTGGGTACCAACAAGTATGACATAAATATATTTATGTCTTTTCAAGTTACAAGGTTAGTCTATGGTTGGGACTCGAGAGGAAGATATATTATCCATTGCCTCACCAGATGGTCAAGAGAAATAATCTTTTATATTCAATTAAGTAGAGTGGGAGATTTGGTTGCAAAGTTGAGCGCCTTCCTCTCAGGTGATTGCATCCCCACCTCTTTTGACTTTTGGGTTTAGTGTTAATCTAATATCATCCCCTTCTTCATAAGCATGGAATATGTGTTTTTAAATGACCAAGTTGTTACTATAATTGTCTGTAAGCATTGATTATGTAAGTGCTTAAAGACCAGGATTTCTCCCCAATATAACAGACTGAATCCTCTTGGATGGGGAAAGTTTGAAACGTATCTACTATAATATATATATATATGGAAAAGTTAGAGCCCATCACTGCATGACGGCTCCTTGGATCTGACCTTTCTTTTCTACCTTCCACTCACATCTTGGGTACGTCTTCTGTTCATGATTATAAAACTCACCTTCTTTGGGTGCATTGCACTGTTGGACCGGTGCAAAGTTTGCTATAAATTGATGAGAGGACCGCCAACTAATGGGTGTGTCGGTTCTACTACACATCCTAATCTCCTCCCCATCTTCAGAGAAATGGAAAAGGGTGCGCTAGAACATGGTGTTGTTGTCTCTAATCTATTTCCAGCTCCAAAGAGATGGGATGAAGAAAATGGCCTCCATGTAAAAATCCACACTGAAGAGAAGAAGCTCCGACTATTCGGCTTCGAAGTGGATCCCTATGCAAACGATGGAAGGTGCTCGAGGGCGTCGGAGGAAGGAGATGAAAGTGCAAATTCGTCGAACACAGTTTCATCTCAGAGGGAGGAGAAGTCTATGAAGGAGAAAATCCCAACAGGTGAGCCAGCTGAAGACAAGAAGTACGAGTGCCAATTTTGTTTCAAAGAGTTTGCAAATTCACAGGCGCTAGGGGGTCACCAAAATGCCCATAAAAAGGAGCGACTAAGGAGAAAGAGGTTGCAACTTCAAGCGAGGAGGGCAAGCATCAACTGTTACCTTCAACCTTTCCAGAATCGCCAAGGTTTCGGTTACCATCCCTCTCAGCCACTTTTCTACGATTCCTCCTGCTTTTTACCCGATTCCACATTCTTTGAAGAGTCTCATATTAGTTTCAGTCCTTTTGATCAAAATGTATACCTCAGCGGGGCCCAAGTATCAAAGTCATATGTTCTACCCACTCGTTTTCCTCTCCAACAAGATGCATGTATGTTCACCCTTACACACACAAACAGTTTCGGTGAAAACAGACCTGTGGTCATTAAGCCCTCGCCCTCGCCTGTTTCCAAGCAAAGCTGTAAAAGTCTTGATCTTCAGTTGGGGCTTACCAAGCAATCAAATATTTGCAGCTCCTCTGGAAGTAGGCTTTAATAGATCCTCTTACAGATAGATGGGGCATAATTAGCTTCTTCAGTGCTTTCATGCGTGAACCTTTCCGTGGCCACATGGATTCACTGGTGATCTTTAAGGTTTATCAAGGTGTTCAACCAAACCACGGTTTGTCGCTAGCTTGAGATATAGTGTAGAAGCTGTCAATCACACAATATTGTGATCACTGAAGACACCCCATACTTAGGCCATTCACAAATCAGTGAGGAGACATATACGGTTCCAGGATTCAGCTTATTATCATACAAAACTACAAAAGCAGGTTATGTTTATTGCACCACAAAGCATGAGATATAGTGGCAAGAGGCCTACAACTGGGCTAGTCACAGTATGGAATGAACAGGTTTGACCGATGAAACTTATCTAGAAGTTCTGCAGATTGTTATGGCTACAAGCAGTGTTTCATGTGTTTGATGTCAACAATATATTTATATCTTTACAGTGTAGAAGCATTCATTGTGAATTATGTGTTAATGACTTCTCATAAGTGAAAACCCAAAATCAAATATGGGACCCATCTCCCAGAATCAGAGAACAATGAAAACTTGTATAGGGTTCAGGGATGTTCCCGGCCTCACAGTTTTCCCAACAAATTCCCTACAAAACAAATTGCTTCCAGTAACCACCACTCTATGATTTTCTTCTTAGTATGCTGTTCTTGTTTTCATTCATGTTAGAATATAGATATTTCAGTAGAGAGGAAACAGAAAAGTGAGACTTTTCCATTCCAAATCTTAACTATGTTATTTGTCTCATGGAAATTAACTGTTACAAATGAATAGATATTTGAATAAGGCCCATCATCGATAACGATGAAATACCAGATGCTAAACCATCTACGCTGCTAATACTAACTCCACAAGAGCATGGTTAAGGCTAACCATGGATTCCTCAAAAGACAAAGGCTATAAAAGATGGGTGTTGTTGGTTACCTTAGAGCAAAATTAGAACCTGCCCAACATTTATTTCCTTGTCATCTTCTTAGATTACAAATTTTGACGACTGTGAGGCACTGAGGCTCTAGTTTGCATTTTTCTTGGATTTGGTGTTCCTTTGTAAGTGGAAGCTTCCTCATCTTGTATTTGTAAACGGGCCCAATTTGGATGGGCTGGTCATCTACACGCGCTTAGGTTCACCAGGTGCCCTGTTGTTCTAATCCAGTTCTTCGTACTTGAATTCACATATTAATACAATTTTCATCTTCTAGAAAAAGGAAAAGAAAATTGCCTAGAGTTTACTTGGCTTATTCTAATGGTAAACATGTTTGGTATGTCTAGATGCAATGTCTTCAGTGTAGCATTAGGTGATATGAAGACAATGCACTAATCTGTCAAGTTGTCAAAACACTTTATTAAAATCCTTATAGGGCACCTGTTACTCGAATGAAAAGTTGAAAACAGAACTGCTGGTACAAACTACAGAGAATACTTCATATCTTCATCTATTAAAAAAAACCTACAGAGAATACTTTCCTAATATTTCTTAGTCTGTCGTAGTCAAATTTAATTTATCATTATTCGTCCGACTATTAAAGAATTATGACCTTATGGAATGATGGAAATGCTGGTTCAATCTCAAATTTCAGGGTGGGAAGGTTCCTTTAACAAGTATTATTAATGGGATCAAGATATACTACGCTTACAGATTAAACCCAAATTCAATCAGATCAAGATACACAATTAAAAAAGTCCCAATTATAATAAACCTTCAGTTCTGAATTTGTACATCATCTTTAGGCCTATTGGTGCAAATTCTGAACTAAATCTGCTAACATGAATGCTATTTAACTTCGCGATCCCAAATGAAAAGAGTGATTTTCTTAGTTAGACAGCTGATCCCAAGCCGTGGTAAAGGCTGGGCGCTAGCATAAAAGCTTTGCCAAACCGTTTTGAGATCAGAATATGAAATAAGTCTTCGTTGAATTGAATCATAGCTTTTCAAAGCCTTTGCAATCATCAGCTCTAACAAAAAAACAGTTTAGAATGATCAATTCCCAACTCAAACTGAAATTCATTATTCTCACTTCCCCTTACTAAAAGAATTTATAAATTAAACGTTTCATTCAGCGATGTTTATACATCAACATACAACAAGGGATGTCAGGGCCCCTTATCTGAGCTTCACAACTTGAATTCTCGAGGAAGACGACGGAGCCTGCTCTGCACCCTCAGAATCTCTTTTGCAAAGCCTTGATTCCCAGTGAGCAGAAGCCCATTCAAGACTCGATTGAAAGTGAACTTTCTTGGAATAAATCCTTTATCCACCATCTCCATCAATAGCCTCCCTGCTACCAGCAAATCATCCGATCTCTTCCTTACAAACATGGCACCTATTAAGATGTTGTAGGTATCCAAATTCGGCAAGCAAGCCCCTCCGCCCATCTTACCGAATACATCCAAACCCTTCTCAAGCTCTCCAGCATCACACAAATAACGGATGACAACATTGTACGTCTGTACATTGGGCTCGCATTGATCATCATCCTTCATTCTTTCCATGAACTCCATGGCCCTATCCATTTCCCCAGCATGGCATAGTCCTCTAATTATCACAGTATAAGTTGTTGCATTGGGTACATAACCCTTCTTCGCCATTTCGTCGAATACCGCAAGTGCATTCTCGACGTTGTCCTTCTTACACAGAACTTGAACCAAAGCATTGTAGGTAGCAACCGAAGGAAGACAACCCTCTCCAATCATTCCCCTGAAAACTCTACGAGCCTTCTCTACCTCGCCCGCCACGCCAAACCCGTGAACTACAGTAGTGTAAGTAATCACATCAAGCTCACACCCTCTCTTCTTCATCTGAGTAAAGAACTGCCAAGCTTCCTTAAGCTGCCCAGCCCTGAAAAACCCTTTGAGCAAAATGTTATACGTCGCCAGGGAAGGAGTCAATCCCCTCTCCACCATCTCCTTGAGTGTCTCCAACGCCTTGGGTGTTCTCTTAATCAAACACCAACCGTTCGCAATTATGTTATAAGTGATAGTGTCAGCTCTGAACCTCCGGTTGAAGACCTTAAAGAGCGAGTGAGCCATCTCGACCCTCTTGGACTTGCAGAGGACATCGAGGAACATATTGAACGAGGACAAATCCTGAGGGCAACCATGCTCGTGCATCGACAAGAAAATCTTAACAGACCGATCGGCCTTGCCGGCGGCAACGTACCTCTCCGTGATAATGGCGAAGGTTTTGGGGGTGGGACCGAGGCGGCGGCGACGCATGCGGGAGAGGAGGGTCCAAAGGGTCTTGTAGTCTCGAAGTCGGCCGGCGATGTCGATGGCGTAGTCGAAGGTGGAGGTGGAATGTTGGTAGGTGGGGTGGCGGTCGAGAGATTCGAAGAACCGGAGGGCTTTGGGACCGTGGTTCCAGAGGCGTTTGAGGACAGCGTCGACAAGATGGGTGGACCAATGGACGCCGCTGCATTTTTCTAGGGTGAGGGCTAGGGCTTTAGTGTTGTCGTTGAGGATGAGTTGAGCAATGAAAAGGGGGTCTTCTGACTGTAAGGAGGAGGAGGTTTTGTTGGGTTGGCTGTGAGACAAGCGTTTGGGTTGAAGAAGAAGAAGAAGTAAACGTAGATGAAGACGGTTGGTTTTGGCGGGTGAGGAAGTTGTTGATCCGAAGAGATGATGGAACATCACAGAGATCAACAGTAATAAGTTCGTAATTTAACGGGGGTTGGGGTTGGGGTTGAGAATGAATGTCATCACATCAGTTGATATAGGAATATAGGATGGGAGACTGCCGACTGGGAGTGAGTGATCGACACTTGACAAACACTTTGATTCTCATTAATTTTTATATTTAAGTCATTGATTCTCATTTTTTAGAATTAAATCCTATAATTAAAGTCATTTTTTATCAATTAATTCTACTAATTAGATTTATATCAAATACTTTTAAGAGTTATTATTGTATACAAAAAATATAAAAACATAGAAAATTTTGGACATATAAATTATTATCATCATTTAAAATTGCCATATGCAAAGCAAATATATATTTATTAGTATAATAAAATATACCAAAATTTTAGATAAATAAAAAAATATTTAAATTACCTCTAAGTTTTTTGTCAGTTGGCAAATTCTTCCCCTCTGATATGAAGTACATATTATCTACTTGGCAAGAATTTTTTCATTGTTCAATTATGAAAATGTCCACTTTTTTTTTTAAAAAAAAAAAAAGACAGAAGTTAGGATCATATCTAATCTACCCCTTCTAAAACCCCAAATAGTTGTGTCCTACATGGGGTACTGGCCTTTATTTCTCAATATGTCCTACAAATCCCCTATAAAATAACATTTTTAAATATCAGAAATTTAAAATTTCCTTGGTAAAACCAGTCCTGACCCCATTGACAACCTAATCTCAAAATGTACTCTGGACTCTATGTAACATGAGTGGTCTGGGAAAAAAGATAAGCTGAATACAATAGCTGTTCAGCAGGTTGTGGAATCAATAATAAAACTTTATACTGGTAATAAAATACATAGAACCCACAACCATTTAATTTATCACTGGTATGGGGCATTATCATTGATTTCACAGTCCACTTAACAGTCATCAAGTTTAGCTAATCCAACTTAGTGGTTTGGTTATGAATAATGGCTGCAACTAGATTGGACCAAATCAGATATGGCTTAGATTCAAATTGGATGTCTTAATATTTGAATTCAATTCAAATCTTATCTATTGAATTTAGATCAATGTTGAATTGAATTCAGATTGATTTTGGTTAATAAATTAAATGACTAAACTCTCTCTTATAACCATGGATGGGTGAGACAAAATGAGAAAAATTAAAGAAGAAAAAAAAAATTAAAACATGATTAGAGTTAGAGATGCTGCAATGGAAAGGAGGCTAAAGTCTAAAAGACTAGAACAGGAGGTATTGTCTTGGAAAAAATGCTCACAGGATTATGGTGGCCGGCCACCATGTGGATTGTGGAGGCGGCTGGTAAAGTTGGGAAAATAGGGAACTCAGAGCATTGGAGACACAGGTCCAAGAGTGATGAATAATATATATTGTTCACCATTCAGTCTCAAACATACACAAAATAATTAAAAAAGAGTTCAACCCTTTCTCAACCTTTGTAAATTGTGATGGGGATACTTTGGAACTAAAATCATTATCATAATACCTCTAATAACTACTCTCCAATCCTCCATTATTCTCTTCTAACATTGTCAAATTATTAATGCTGCTTACACTGCCTTAATGTTGATCGGATGATAGAGATATGGCAACCCTAGACCATCAATATAAGGGTGTCTAGCGTCCTTGGCTCCTTGCGCATATCTGCAATGTTAGATGTAGCTGGCCTTTCCGTTATCGAAAGACTATGTTTAAATAATTAGATATAGAAACAATAATTGTTTTTTTTCTGTTAAAAGACTTAGGCCCCATTTGGTTTGTAGGATTAGGGGCCTGGAATTAGAATCAGAATAGTCTATTCCAATTTCAACTGTTTGGTTGGGTGGAATTGGAATCCTATTCTCATTTCTGTTGGAATAGCATTCTTCCATTTGAAAGAATGGACATTCTCTGCCCCCCCTAGAAATGAAATCTCATTCCTGTTGATTCCAATTCTCATTCTTATTCCTGTCTGAACCAAACAGACTATGGGAATAGATCATTCTGATTCTGATTTTGATTTCGATAGTAAACAAAACAGACCCTTAATCATATCTTGAATTTTCATAAATTGACTTGAACATACTCTAAGTTTTTCTAATAGACTTAAAGATACCTTATGGACTGGCCTTATCCCCGTCTCCCTAATTTGCATAGTTGGTTGGATACCACCTACCCTGCTGGAGATTATGTGAGTCCATTATAAATGGACCAGGTCCAATCCAATTCAATGAATATTTTTTATCATTTTGGACTGGTCCAATTTAATATTTGGACTGCCCAACCTGTTCAAATTTGTTTTGATTTAGATTGGTTTCAACCCAAATTCGGTTCATTGACACCTATATTCTTGTCTTATATCAATGGATCAGATATTGGCTTAATCCAACTCAATCCAATATAAATTTATTATAGATGGACCAGGTCCAATCCAATCTAATAAATATTTTGGACTGAATTTTTCCAATCCACTATGTCTTTTTGGTCTATCCAATCTGTCCAAATTGACACCCTTATCAGAGATCACCACATCACACTCTCCGGTGCTTCACTTGTGAAGTAATTAAACAAGGGTGTAACAAGGTACAACGGAAAGAAAGCAATCCAAATTTCATGAATGTTGTTTTTCTGCATATCATCATCTAATTCAATTATTTATTAACTGTAACAACAAATATTTAGCACATCGATTACAGATTGAAGAAGCCCAACTAAAATTCAAAGAATAAATGAAACCCAAATGCAGAATTTCAACACAACCCAAACCCAAATGATTCTCTTGAATTAAATAAGATCATATAAAAAAAATCCTAAACCTGTAAAATGGAAAAGATGAATTGCGTATCAGATAGTTATAAGTAGAACAACCAAGTGAAACAAAAATCCAAGTATAAATAAGTAAAAGGCTTAAGGTAAAATAATATTGATATATTTAATGAAAAAAAAAAACTTTTAGCTCTTTCTTGGATCAATCAAAGCCAATTCGACAAGCTTATTCGGTCCCATGTTCTTCAAACTTTCATTTGACTCCATCCCAAACGATGAAGATCTATCCATCAAATCACTATAGTCGTGCATCCTTTCCTACAAATTTTTCCCCCATTACAACACTAATAGGTGATGGTTGAACCTCTAACCCTCAAAGAAATAGGGGCCAACAGAGAAACTCCTAAAATGATTGCTCCCCATTAACCTCCTCTTCTTCTTCTCATCGTTTCATTGTTGAATTCCTCAAAATTTCCAGAATCAATATCCACTGGAAGCCTACTGTCAAAGAAGATGGATACATTTTATGTCTACAGGGCAATGGAGTTTTATTCTAGTGAAGGTGGTGTCTCAAGGTAAAAAAGTAAAAAACTACCATGCTTCACTTGTCAACGAAGGGAAATTTTGTATTTTTATTCAAATAGTATAGGATAACGGTGGAAAGATACATTTAAGTCAATTTAGGGTATGTGCCTTTTACCCAATTAACTTGGCTGGATCAGGACTGTAATTTCAGCCCATTCCGGCCCATAACCCCAGTCAGGCTGGGCCACCCATTCGTGACCCTACTTTGAGTGGGTCATTGATTGGTTTTTACATTTTATTTTTTAATTTGTAATATTTTAGAGGCTCTTAATACCTTCTAGCTTCCGGTCACCCATTTTTTATGATGGGTGAGGAAGTCCTCGTGTTGCATCTCAACTTTTATTTTTTTTTGTTCATAAAAAAAAAAAAACACGGCATAGAAAGAGAGAAAGAAAGGCAACAAACAACATGTTGAGGGACTCTTTAACATCAAATCAGAAAATTTGGAATATGCTTAAATTTCTAAGGCCATGTTTAGGGGTGCTTATGTCAAAAATAATTGCTTAAAAACATGTGCTTATTCGAATAAGCACTTATTTGTATTTGGCACCCAACTTTTTCAATATTGTGATTCTTTTGTCTTTCATTTTCTTTCAAATTTTCAACACATCCAATCCAAAGTGAATGAATAAATGTACTTTGATAGAAGTGCTTTCATAAAAGTACTTTGATAAAAGCACGTACGTAAAACACGTTTATAAAATCACTTCCATAAAGTGCTTTTATGTGTTTTTGTAAAAGTGATTTTATAAAAGTACTTTTGTAAAAGTGCTTTCATAAAAGTACTTTTAGAAAAGTGATTTCATAAAAGTGCTTTCCTAAAAGTGTTTTTGTAAAAATACTTTCATAAAAGTGTTTTCGTAAAAATACTTTTACAAAAGTACTTTCGTAAAAGTAATTTATAAAGTTGCTTTCATAAAAGTTATTTCGTAAAAATACTTTACTTCGTAAAAATAAATTTTCATAAAATTACTTTTATAAGTGTCATTGTAAAATTGTTTTTGTAAAAGGGTTATAATTGGTATTCTAAAAATTCATTGGGGACAATTATGGGAGAACAAATTGAATAAGTGCTTATTGTATGAACACTTAAAAAAAGCTGAAAATTGGGATTAAAAAATAAGCCCTTATTTTTAAGCACTCCCCAACATGGCCTAAATATGCCCACAATTTATAGTTATATATGCATTTTGTGGATTTTGATAAAAGAGTTAACACTAGTTCTTCCTATACATGTTTAGGTTTTATTTGTCTATAGTACAAATGAAATAAACGGGTGTAATTTTGGCTCACTTCTATTTTAGACTTTACTTTGTTTTGTTTGTTTGGGAGGAGTGAAATTGGAATTAAAATTTAATGGACATTTTATACGAGAGGAAATCAAAGTAGGAGGGAGGTTGTTTGTTTGGGAGCAATGGAATAGGAAGTAAAATGACCTTGTCCCCAATGTATGAGAGATAGGAACTAGGAAGGGAGTTGAAATCTTATATCAATTTTTGGGTTACAACATTTGCACTGCTAATGAGTGCAAATGAGGCAAGAACTACTATTTTGTATCAAATAGGGGTACAAATCATTACAAATTTTAACTAAATGTTGTTTTGCATTTGATTTGAATTTACACTGCAAACAAATGGAAGCCTAGGTACATATGCATAATGGTGGGAAGGTATGATTTGTGCTCAGTAAGGATGTAAGTTCGTGGGGGGAAGCTGCGGCTATTGAAGCTCATGTGTTTGCAGCCAAAGTTTAGTAGGATTTGTGT